CTATTTTTAGTGATGGATTTGCAGCCCCGCCGCCCCCCCCCCCCCATTTTTCCTGTCTCTGTCTCATTCTTTCTGCAGACGCAGTTCATTTCCTCCCCCTCCAGAATGAGAGAGGGAGACCCTGTCTTTCTATCTTTGTCCAGTGAGTCCTCCTCCTCCTCCGCTGCTTTCTTACTTCTCTGCGTCTGCTCTGTGTCGCTCGACGACTTTGCCTCTTCTCTGTGCTTGGCTGTAAGTTTTTGCATTTTACTTCTTCCTCTGCAGTGACGGCCTCGCTCTCATCTGTCCCGTTCATTTCCGTTGGGATTAAGCGCAGTTGAAGTGGCGCTCAGTCAGGCAGCTGTTGCTGTAGATGGAGCCCTTTAGCGCCTCCTCACGTTCAGCAGCTGGAGGAGAGTTGTAAACATTGAGTAATGTGGTAATCGTTTCGTGAATGTCAGGTATGCCAGACTGTTTCTGATTAGTTGGGAGTGTGACGGACTTGTTCAACACCACCACCCTGTGGTAAAAATAGGTGCATAAAAGCCAGTCATTAGGGAAAAATCAGGGATTTTTTCTCTTGACTGCTAAATGTAAAAAAAAAAAAATTAACTCTTCGTTGCTGTTTTTTCCATGTGTGTACCATTAAGGTTTAAAGGGTGAACTTCTCTCAGCTATAAGCTTGAAGGTGAAAATTTAGGAAATAAAGAAGAGAATATTTAAAAAAAGCTTTTCCAATTAGCTGTAGTGTTATAACTATAATATTCAAGGTCTCCATAACTATTTCCAGCAACTTTTTTCCACTTTTCCTGTCACAACAGTTGATCGACAAGCATCTATAGATTTAAACATGAGCCAATTGTTTCTAAACTGCGGGTGCTTGAATAGCAGGAAAAAAGTTATTTTATCCTTTGAATACCTAATGTGGTTTTCGTTGTTTATTGACACAGAAATCTGTCTACTGTCTCCCAGGTTTGTAACGATGTCCGTAGCGACATAGAGAGCAGCTCAGAAGAAGAGTCCGAGAAGGCCACAGACGGCCCCAAGACTTTCCTTCATAAGCCCAAGGGAGAAAACGGCACGAACGGCCACTGTGCTGCAGCCAAACTCCGAACACAGAACCACAGCAGCTGGTGACACGGAGCCCCCTGCAGTTCATCTCCTTACAGCCACTCCAAGCGCTTCGTTTGTCCAAGAACGTTCCTCTGACCTGCGAGGCGTTCTCACATATTACACTGACGGCGTGCGCTCACACATTCGTGTGTTTGGGAACTAAATATGGACGTGCAATGACATTGTAAAAGCTGACGTGACATGAAAATCAGTTCAAGGATGTGATTTGCCTACATTGCCTCGTTCCAAAATCTTGGGATTTTATCTTGCGCCGAGTTTGACTGCAGACATTGGTTTCAATGTTCTCGTCCAATTTTATTGATCAGGTGAACTTGACTACGTTTGCCTTAAAGGCTTTATTCACAGTGGATTGCACAGAGCTGACATACCACAGCTGATAACACGTGCTAAAATTAAAAGAAAAAAAAAAGGTTTTATCTGTGAATTTTATCAGCTATTATGGGGCACAGGAGCACTGCTCTCCAGGTGACAATAAGCAGCCCTTTGCAATTCATTGTGATTTTACTCTGATAACTTTATTTGGCTACATTGTGACTTGTTTTACTGTTTTTACTCCTCCTTTAAAGACCAAAAATATATGAAAATGTTTGTCACTGCCTGTAGAAGAATCAAGGTTTGAGGACCACCAGAAAAGTCTCTTGTCACTTGAGTGCTTTGTATAAATGTCTTTTCAAACATTTTGTTGTTAAATGCCGTTTTATATATATATATATATATATATATATTTATTTTAAGGTGTTTTGTAACAGCCATTTACACTCTGAAAACATTGTTTATTGTGGATCTGACTCAGGCCACTGATGCAAATACGTTTTGAATTCATTTATTTGTGGATTTTGTAAACACAAATTACTTTTGTGAGTTACTTGAGGAAGTTACACAGACATCCAGGGAGGATTTAACCTCTTCATAATGCAGAGGTGAACAAAAACTTAAAGAGGAATGGGAAATGTCCACATCTGTGCAAAAATCAAAACAAAACATAATACAGTCCTCATGATGTCAGCCTTTCATGAGTTCAGGATCTTGGTTCTCTGCTGCTAATTTCAGCTGTTTTCGCTTCTGGACGAAGTGGTATCCTGCCACTGCACACAGGTAGCCTCCGTACATCGTTAGCAGGATCATCGAGGCAGAAAAAGTCCGGTAGCCGATGTCAGCCAGACGCTTTCCTGACACCATGATGAGACCCTGAAAGAACAAAAAACAGGAGGTAAAACAGGTTCAACATCTAAATATAAATCAGTAGTAGCAACTGGACAACAAGTTCATTTAGGGGCAACAAATACTGCATTTAACATTCCTGCTCACCTCTTGGACATTTTAATACTACTGTATTTCTTTAATCTTTTGAAATACTAGCAATTCTGCAAGAGTACTAAGTTCTGTYATAATACTTAAAAAAATGTCTATTGTGCAGCATCAAACTTTCCTTAACTGTAGTTATACTCATCCCAAGCAAAATTTATATACAGTGTATAACTAGATCAAATAATAAAAATGTTCACAATATACTAGAAATAATATATAGTGACAAATCTTTTACAACCTAGTGTAAAATATACTCCAACGTTTAAGTATCACGCCAAATGTAAKTAGAATAACTTTTCAATTATTAATAAAGTGTAATGTACATGAAAGTAAATATTTTACGTTATGATCTTAATTCCAACATGGACAATGATTTCCAGCCAGGAAAATGAATTAAAGTCTGGGTGGAGAATGAATGGACATAGATGACAAATAACATACTCATGCATTTTGTTTGTTTTTGTGATTTACTGGCTTTTGCACGAAATGAGGGCAGGGCTATGTTTTGGCAATGCAATGCAAAGGGCAATAGAATTATCTGACAAAGAAACAAAGGAAAGTTATTTTAATTATATGAACCAAATGAAACAAACGGCAATTTTCTAAAATAGCAAAACATTTACATTTAGTTGTATAAAAAAGTTACCTTTTATCAGATTCAGAGCTTTTGTCTCAGCTCAACTAGTCGCAACACGTCACTAAATGCATAAACATAAACAATACGTTCTGTTGTGTAAAAGAGGACGAGCGTGTAGCATAAATACTTTATTAACAAAAGGCTCCAACATATAAGTGTATGTTCCTACCTGTTATTATTCAGCAAAGTAAAMCGTAAATGTCTTCAATGTCACTACATCAGTTTCCAAAGTAGCACACGGCTAACCTTCGCTTTCATAAGCTACGGAAACTCAGAAGGTAACACTGATCTGGACAAAACGTCGGGTGAGCTCGCCACCTGCTGGCAGGGAGTAGCTACAGCACAATGTCCTCTGCTAAGCTAAGCTGTATCTTTAAAAAATGTTGAAAAGTATATGTGCACGATTACTAAATTAAATATTTCTAAAACCGCGTATGGCTCTTTAGCCCAAATCTATGCTTAAACATCGGAAGTCACTTCATGCCGACAGCGTTTTCCACCCGGACTCATTAAGCCGACACGCACGTGTTTTTCCGGCCGGACTCATTTCGCAGAGACGCACGTTATAATGGCAACATGTAGCGAAGGTATTGAAGAAGTGAATGACCCGGGAGCTGCCCCTTACGGAAACTTTAGAAACTACTACACCTTTAATCCTCCTGGGAACCGATTGAGTCTGATTCCAGCAACTCTCCTGCGGGATTTAGGGTACGAGGACGGTCAGGGCGAGGAGGACATGTTGGTKCTGGACGTGGGCTGTAACTCCGGGGTGAGGCTTGGTTCGCTTCTACATTTAAATAAATGTCTGTAAAAACAAAAATGACGAAACTCATTCACTCAAATAAACTGGTCAGTATGTATGTCATAAATGAAACACATTTTCTTGTTTATGTCATGTTATTACGCCTTTCATTGAGATTCATATGAGGTTTTAAAGAATAGTTGTGAGATTTATTAGGCCAGATGATTCTAAAACGTTTTGTTGTATAATTCTGAGGTTCTCAAACTGGGGTCCCAGGACCCCTAGGGGTCCTCAAAAAATTTAGTAAATTGTTAATTTGGTTTTTATATTTAAAAATATGCATATGGGGAACAATGCACTAGTAAAACAAACACACTAAATCAAATAAAAAATATTTCCATGGAATTCAGTGGTTAAAATGACAGTAAATTATTTTTAAAACAGCATAACATTTTTGAGTGGGTCCCTGGAAAATGTTCAACCTTGTAAGGGTTCCCCAGACCCAAAAGGTTTGAGTATCCTTGGTATACTGTACTTAATTGTATTTAAAAACACAATTTTAAGATAGAGTTGATATTCTGTTTTTTTTTTCTTTCTTTCTTTTTTTAGCACTTGCATTTTACTCAACTAGTCCAGTTTATTTCTTTAAGATATATTAAATGCCATATCAGAAAAATTGATATTTTTTCTTTAAATAATAGTATTTTGTGAATTACTTTGTTCATCCAAATCTGTTATTTTTCTTACATAATGCTGTTGTGTTTAGTGTATTTTGTAGATGCAATTAGATTAATCAATTAATTAAACTTTGTGGAAATTTGTTCTGTTTTTCTTTGAATTACTGCATGGGTACCAGTTGTTTTATTATTATTTTCTACTGTGAAACACAGGAACTGAGTGTGGCCTTCTACAACCATGTTGTGCAGCAGCCAGAAGAGGCGACACACAGAAGGAAAGTTCATCTCCTGGGATTCGACTTGGATGAAACTCTGATTCAGCGAGCGCAGGAGAGGAACCCTCTGCACGGCAACATCACCTTCCTGCAGCTGGACATCACCAAGAGCACGGACCAGCTGCAGGACTACCTCAGGCAGCACAGCTGCTCCCACTTCCACCTCTGTCTGTGCCTGGCTGTCACCATGTGGGTCCACCTGAACCACGGGGACTCGGGTCTGCTGCGGTTGCTTTCACAGCTGGCCTCGGTCAGCCGGCACCTCCTGCTGGAGGCTCAGCCCTGGAAGTGTTACCGCTCGGCCGCCCGGCGGTTGCGGAAGCTGGGCCGCTCGGACTTTGACCACTTCAAGGCCCTGAAGATCCGTGGCAATGTAGCAAAACAAATCAGCGAGCACCTGGAGGGACACTGCGGCATGCAGCTCGTCCAGAGCTTCGGCAGCACATCGTGGGACCGTCAGCTGCTGCTTTTTAAACAGAAATGAAACAACAGACTCAATTTTTACTGCACTGCATATGGACTGCAGGAATACAAAAAAATATTTATGCTGATGACTAGATATTGATTTTACTCTTAAAATGCTTCCTTTTTATASAAATAAAAAAATTAATATTTTGTTCAGAATAGTGGTGTTCTCTGATAGTTTTGGTACTTTAACATATTTAAATAGCTGCACATAGATTAGTTGCTGTGCCATTGTAAAGAAAAACACCACACCAGAGGTTTGAGTGACATTAAATGGGTTAAAATACATTTAAAAATGCTTTGCACAATCTGAAAATGCTTGAAAGGTGGCACAAGTGTAGGTCATTGTGCACCGTGGTTTRGAAAGATACAGTATAAGGTGATATAGGCGTGTTTGTAACCAGACGGACAATTCACAAATAGTTGAGAGTTTGGATGTGAAAAGTGTCATACAACCAATTCAGCACTGGGCTGGAATGAAAGTTTAATGCTTGTCTCTGCTCTGCTCTCCCTGTGCAATCAGGCRCGAAACCAGGAAGTGGTGTTACCTTTAACAACTTTCTTCAGAATCTGACCCCGCCTACTAATTTTGACATCACTGAGGGGGGACCACCATCCTTTTCCGGGCTTAAAATCCTCTTGACATAATTCCTGTTTCAGGGTTGTTGTTTTTTTACATTCAGTCACTTTGTGTTGAATATGTGTTCAGGCACTTATATACTTCCTGCTCTGGGTGACCATATCATCTAGCCATCCAGACCAGTCTGTACACAACATCAATTTAATCACAAAACTAGTCACACAACAGTTCATAAAAATACATCATTATTCACCTAAGAAACGATTATAAAGATGTGTGGTGCTTTTAAAAGTCAGTAGTAAACAACCCCGATAAATGTCTTCAGTTTATTGCATACTGCCAAAGGTGAACAGGTGAAAATGATTTCACCAGTTTCAAACAGAGCAATGTTGTATATGCTGTTAAGTGCCAGGAGGACTGCGACCAGTTATACATCGGGGAAACAAAGC